GGGGATTGCTGTCACAGAGCCTTCGGTACAGAGTACAAAAATCGGTAAAGCAAAAAAGTCGACGGGATTCATTCGCTAAGAGCCTCGACACCCGAAAAAGTTCTTCAACATTCGAGAATCGATAAGAAATATTTTCGTCACCTTCCCCGCACTTCGTTTGTCCGCTTCCACCTTTCGGCCACAAAGACGCTCGTCCCCCATCGTCGAGCGAGTTACCAAAATCCAACAACAAAGGGAGGCATTTGCCGATTTAAGAGAATTATCCGGAGGCGTGGCGAAGGGGGCGAAGGGGGCGAAGGGGGCCAGATAGATTTGAGCCTTCAAGCATAAAGGGGATCGATTTAGAACTCCTTACGAAGCGCGTCTATCGTCAAACTTGTCAAACTTGATATCGATCCTTTGTATTGGCAGAATGTACGGAAAACGCAAAGTACGACGATAATACCTTATTAAATTCGGCACTTTTCAATGAGAAACGTAGCTTCGTGAGTAATCCCGAGGGGTTACGCGCGGGGATATTCGCAAAGTCTTTTGGTCCAGCCTGAATTAACCGTTAACCGTTGGCACCGGGCTGCAAGCTCCCACCTCGTAGTGGTAACGTCACACGATTCTATGAAATTTGTCGAACGACAAAAGACTTTGAGAGACCGAGGAATCCTTTGATTATCAAATTCCTCCAGTCAACATTCTCTCGGACGGCTGTTCTGCAATTTTAGTTTCATCTTGTTCGCACGAGTCAAATTTTCGGCATGACGCATACCTTTCGAGATACTTGCCGTTATGCGGTGTAAGGGACTAAGGGACTAAGGGTTGATCGCTCGACGCTAAAGGGTTGCCGCCTTCTCAAGATGATCCATTGATCAATTAGGGACTCTAATACATCATGCCCACATGATACTTGTCTCGTATGCCTATAAATCGACATGATTTCCTCCTCCTTGCCAAATATTTTCTCTCCTCTTGTACAATATAAATTACATTGTCCGCGATAAAAGATAAGAAGCACAAATAATATTTGTGCCTCATGGAATTTACTGGCACCC